TTCAATAAAGACCGAGGCCAGGCCTCACTCTATAATTTAAAAAAAAATAAAAATAGTTAGTTACATCTTTGTTGAGATCCACCATACGGAATCTTTCTTGCCTATTTCCCGAATTTGATATTTTGTTGATAACTACAGTCGCATTCCCATATAATCACGCCATCGGGATTCATAAAAAATAGATATTATATAGAAGACATACTTAGAATGCGCTATATTTAATAGTAGTTAATCCAAAAAAATAAATGTACTTATAAATATGATATGCTTATGAATATGATATGCTTATGTAGGTGATTATATAGAAGTGCGACTGTAATTATTAATTTATTTGTATTATTATTATCCTTCGACGTAAAAGTATTATTTCTGCTATAATAGCTATGACAATAAAAGCAAAAATGACACTAACAATCGCAATAATAATCGGTGGAAGTGGATATATAATGATAAGCATTGTGTCTATTATTATAGCTGCGACCAACGCTATAGAGCAATTAGTAATAATCATCAACTTATTATCCAGTAGTGATTGACGATTAATTTTTATAATTGCTACTGTAGTCACAATAAACACCACATAAAAAGCAACGGTCGAACCAATAATCAAAGGAATTGGTGGCTTTGGTGGATCTGATATTATAGGACATGTGTAGCCGGGTGTAAACGTGGTTACCCATTCTAGGCGCGGCAGACACAATAAATAAATGGAAGAACTAGTTTCAACAGACTCGGATTTATCATTAGTAATATTACCTTCATTATTTTTCAAGGAAACAGATAATTTAGTTTTATTTATAATAATAATAATAATAATAATAATAATAAGATAATTACCGAAGGCAACAATAATAAGGTTCTGATATAAATTTACAGTATGATATGCTAATGGAGGCGGTCGAATTCCAGAATATTTTAATTCTGAATATTCATAAGATTCGGTTCTAATATCTAGCATTATAAAAACTGGATGTGCAGTAGTTGCATTTGTTACATGGCCTATAAATAAATATTTGTTAAATACTAAATATATTTGAAAGAAAGCAGACTTTATTAATATTTACTTGAGGTTCCGCCTATGATAATGATTTTATCATTATCTGGTGTTAAGGTCGCCGTGTGGCCTATTCGAGCCTCAATAGGAATTCCTGTTGGTATTGTTGTTTGCTGAATGTTTATATCTTAAATTAGAAATAATGGATAATGGTAAAATATAATGGTAGCCACTAAAATATAAATAAATACTTTGGATGACCAGGTTAAAGAGTTTGTGTCAAATACTGAAATCTATATTAGAATTTTATTTATATAAAAATTAGTATAATAAAAATAATATGCATATTTTTGAACAAGCATCATTCTGAAAATTTGATAAAAATAATTACATCTTTCATTTCAATTGGCTTCGTATCTTCTCCAGGTCGATCTTGATAAACACCTCCAATATAGAGAATTTTACCATTTGGAAGTAACGTGGCAGTACAATGACTTCGAGCAGAAGGAGCATTACTTGCACTAATTTTGTTCCATCCTGGCGTAACGGTATTATAAATATAGGTATCATTAAATAAAATAAGGTCAGGTGAAGCAGTATCATTTTCGGCTCTTCCTCCAAATATATATATCTTTCCATCCTGACTTATTACTGTTGAAGTTGATCTACGTCTAATTAATGGTCCTCCATTAATATCAGGAATAAACCAAGCTTGTGTAATTGGGCGGTAAATAAAAATATTTAATTCTTTATTTCCATCAGTTACATTCCAAGTTTTAATTAACT